GTGAAGGAGTGAAGGAGTGAAGGAGTGAAGGAGTGAAGGAGTGAAGGAGTGAGGGAGTGAAAGAGTGAAGGAGTGAAGGAGTAACAGTAATAGTAATAGTATATCTTTATTGCGCCTTACTCTCCAAAGGGAGGTATTGGTCTAGTTTTAATAAAGATTTCTACGTTAACTTATAACAATACAAAATAATATTTACCATATCCGTATACCATAAATTGGGAAACTCATAGTGCATGTTACTTTTGTGAATTGAGAATCTCTTTTCTTTTTTGAAACATTAAATGGATATATTTACCTATTATTTTAGATGTAACCGTGTTTTCTGCTCTGAGTAAATACTTCGTCTTCTCGTTATCACTTACACTGGGGTAATGGGTGTCAGCGTTTGAAATATGTGAGTGCAGTTCACGTCTTAATGTGGTATACCCCCGACAATACATAAAGAAATGCTGTTCATGTTCTATGCAATTAATTTTCTTTGCATACGAAACATGTTCGCTCTTCTACTGGGATTAATGCTCCTCTATTTTCATATTTGCCAGTTTGTATTCGTAATGGATGACATCCTAATCTAAGCCTTGCATTGTCGGGCTAATTCTGTGTGCTGGCTTTGTAATTAATGTCAGGTAGTTTTCAAATTGATAATTATTTTTAACTTTCTTTTGTGTAAACTTCTCTCTTGAACTTGTTGATGATCTATTCTGGGTTTCAAGCCAGCTCTGTAAATATTGATTCTTGAGTGTTTTCTTTATAACTAATCGTGCATTCTTGATGTGTTGCTGGGTTGCTGGCTCTTTTATTTTACACTTTTTATTGATTGCTTCATTCTGTTGAATGTCAAAGAATGTTGTATGTTTTGTTGCATATTGAAATTCTTCTCGTGACAAAACGTTGTTAGTGGAATGCTTCAATCTTTGCCAGTAGCTGAAGATTGATGCTTTTATGTTGATGCTTAAAAGGTACCGCCCAAGCTCTGCTCTGCTCTGAAGGAGTGAAGAAGTGAAGGAGTGAAGGAGTGAAGGAGTGAAGGAAATGAAGGAGTGGAGGAGTGAAAGAGTGAAGGAGTGATGGAGTGAAATTGCTTCACCACTACAACTTGGAAAATAATATATATTTTCCAAGTTAAAAACGAATCATAAAAGCCGACGTTTCCGTGTCATTACGACGCCATTGTCAAGGCAAGGAATGAAAATTCTGCGGTGTCAGAATTGGTATAAGGACAAAGCGAAGTAAAATTACACGAATACTTTAGCTCGTAAAGAGACTAATTGCACGAATACAATATTTGTATTTTTAGGGAACATTGCATTGTTTTGAATGCATCAGTGAATTCCAGTTCTCCCCTACCCCGAGCAATAATGGGGCATTTTCTCACACCGTCGATCCCGGGGGTCGGGCATTAACTTTCCACTAAATTACGCCAGGGCTTTCGACCATCTCTCTTTTTTCACCATATAGCGTTACAACCAAATCAGCCAAATCACTGGCAAATACGGTACATTAAGCATTGGGGGTCAAGGGGAAACAAGACTCAATGTTTCCCATGGGGCCAGTCGTTAAGTGTTTTGTTATACTTCCCAACGCAAAAATTATGTTCCGGCCGGCACACAAATTTGCCGTGGTTTCAAGGTGCGCGACCTGATCACGAACGAGTCGAAAGTTTAAGTTGTTGTTTCCCTAGGGAGTAAGTGACTTTTGTTCGTCCCAGGGAGTTAGTAAGTTTTGATCCATGACACGTGACACGTTCTCCTCTAATTTGAGCGGGAAGGTATAACAAATTTTATTAAATCGAGAGAGATAACATCTTTCCCTTTCTCGACACGTCAGTTACAAAAGATGCAGACGGTCTTCCCTCTACCACGGTATACAGGAAACCAACACACACTGACCAATACCTAGCCTACCACCCACACCATCCTCAGTCAGTGAAGCGTGATTTTGTGAAGTGCTTTTAGAGTCGTGCTGAACACCTCATAACGAAGCCTTCAGCTATTGCTGAATAAAAGAAACACTTGTCATATGTACTTGTTTCTAATGGATACCCTTCCTCGTTTGTACAGAAGCTCGCGAAAACAACAAGAACGACAGCTAACCAAGAACTCACGCAGGAATTTAAATCAACTGCGGTTTTACCCTGTAGTAAAGGTGTATCAGAGGTTCTCCGCCGCTGCCTACAACAACAAGGCGTGCTCAGTCTTTAAATCTGACACAACTCTTAGGTCCTACTTAGTGCGACTTAAAGACACCCTTGAGCCAACAAAACAAGACGGTGCTATTTATAAGATTCCTTGCGAATGGGGTAAAGTGTACATCGGAGAAACAGGGAGAGCTATGCGAGAGAGGATAAAAGAACATGACAGAGACATACGGCTTGCTCGCACGCAAATCTCCGCAATTTCAGAGCACGCCAACGAGACGGGGTATCTACCCATTTGGCACAAAGTCAAGTTGACTGATCGCGACCCTCACTGGTACACACGAAGGGCCAAGGAAGCTATCCATGTAAGACTTCATCCAAATAACATCAATAGAGATACTGTAGAGGAATCGAAATTCCTGAAGCATGAATACCTACAATCAAAATAAAAGGCACTACAGCCGGTCAGTTACAATGCGGACCTTTGAGGTAACAGCGTCATAAAGTCGGAATAATAATGAGAATCGAAACGCACCAATAGCAGTGAACCAACGTGTTACAAATGGCGACATGCAACAATCGACCCCATCGCCTGATGAAGACTGGCAGTATAACAGTCGAAACGTCGCGATCAGCATCTCTAAGTGACTCCATCGTGAGACAAACGAGTAAAATTCATGTCTTATCTTACACAACGATGAATAATAGACATATCTTTAATGACATTTAACACTTTGTTTCTTAAAAAAATGCTAATTGCCCGGGGGTGGGGGACATGGGCGCAGCTACGACTGACTGACGCATAATCCTCCAGTAAAATTACTGAGTGATTGCACTATGTATAATTTTAGATAGTAAAAGTACTGATAACCGGTGACTGTATTGTTAAAGTGGCATGATATTAAGTAAAATTACTAGCTTTTAGTCGTATGATCGTTAGTTAATTGCTGACATTCAGTAATTTCCAAATTTAAGTCCCACGCATCCACGCTACGCAGGAGAAATTTGAACACGGCGTTTTCACTCTGAAAACGCCTGAAATATTTTCCGTCCACACTACGCCGGAGAAATTAAAAAACGTAGCAATCACCGGTCATTTTGGATTTGTGTTTGAGTAAACCTCCGACAGGGAAATCACATAATTATCGTGATGCCATCGGGTTTTTTTCTTTTTCTTTTTTTTTGAAAAGCTCCGTTTTCAAAATGTTTTCAGTCCACTCGAAAACGAAAAGCCGACATTTTCAAATTCCTCTGGTTTGAAGAGCATTTTCGAAAATCTCCGTTTTCGTCATGGATTAGTGTGGACAGTAGGCCTAACCGTGGAAATAATCCTGCGTTTTCAAATACTTTCGGCGTAGTGTGGACAGAAAACACTTGATGCGTTTTCAGAGTGAAACCTCCGTTTTCAAATTCCTTTGGAGTAGTGAGAACGGGGCCTTGCTTCATACTGCCAACATGGCAAAAGATCTTATTTACATTTCTTTACAAACGTTCTGAAATGTTCATTTTGTAATTGATTTCTAGTAGTTATTCAAACTTGTGTAAACATTCAGTGCAACGTTCTTTGTTTACTTAGCTGATGCAATGATTGCAAGATCGTGAGTATAAACATGCATAGCGGACTTAAAACTGTACCGTTCGATTTACGCCGAGAAGAAGAATAAACTGTGATGATCTCACATCCAACAAGCGCGAGTGGAATAATTGTTTTATTAAAAACTCCCCCGAAATGTAGAAAACTGAAAGCCCAAAAATTGCGCATAGGATTTCCATATTTGTAGAGCATGGTATTATTGTTCTATATACATACCATGATGGATAAGCCAATGAAAACTCTTGAACTGCATCATCCAATGATCTAGTTTTTAATAAAAAAAAAAAAAAAAAAAAANGTCCCCCAAAATTACGCGTTCGCTTAAGACATTTGTAGAGCATGGTATAATGGCTCATATCCCGTGATGGCCAACGAAACTCTCGAGTTGCATTATTCAATGATCTAGTTTTTAATAAAAGAAGTTATGAGGTATCAGCAATAAAGACCAATTTGGAACTGGAAATTAAACTCGATAGGAGCCCAGGTACTTGTGTAATTTAACTTCGCTTTGTCCTTACACAAATTTTGGTGGACAATATCTGACACCGCAGAATTTTGCACTCATCTTGACAATGGCGTCACGATGACACCGCAACGTCGTTTCTAATCACCGGTTTTTGATTGTCACTGTATTTCCAAAGCTTTAATAATTATTCTTTAGATTATAAGAAAATGAAGCTAAAGAAAAGGCAGTAGAGCATTTTAATTACACGCAGCTGAGGAGGGTTAAGTTGGATTAATCTTTTGTTGCGCGTTCCTTGGGACATTGATCAAATCATCGCATTCTGTAAAGGCTGCATCAGTATTCCATTTTTCTGTGTCCAAACACCAAATTGCAAAAACAAGTCTATGTTTTAATACGTCCTTTTGCGATATATCACATTTTTTAAACCTCGTCTGTCAGAGAACAAAAAACTCCACATCCTAAAACAAATATCGACTTCGCATTAAATGCGGCTGTGTTTATTATATAGAATTTTCATTTACTCTGACTGATGAAGTACAAATTGCAAATCCTGCTTGAATTAAAATTTTGCGTGGGTGCGCGAGCATCGATTGGTTGAGTTTCACCGCCAAGAGCTCTCTATTTACCTTTAGCGATAGCAGTTGCGATAAGGACATCTGCATATGTACGAAAAAACGAATTCTTAATTGTGTTAGCGTTAATTTTCTGCCAAGCACCTTGAAATTTCTTTGAATTACGGGAAAAATGACTTAACCGTCAAAATTCTGGATAACCGCCGAGACATAAATTAAAGTTTGCCTTGACAACGTGACGTCAATTACAACTATAAGTTAGGTGTACATGTTGGATACACACGGAAATACGCTGAGGGTGTCCTTCGCGACCTGTTGTTACTTGTCAGTCCCTTTGAAGCCGTCGGCGTTAAATTCGACTCAGTTTTTGACAGAAACAGTTCTGTGGTCTGCCCAAGCACAATGAAAGTGCGTAGGTTTACAGCACTCGTTTGTATCGTTTTACTCGTGTTGGTTGCGGTGGATGCCAGAGGCCGCGGCGGAGGTGGCCGTTCCGGCGGTTCCAGATCAAGGTCTAGAAGCAACAGCGGTTCTTCTGGCAAACCTAAAATCACCAAGAACACGCCGATCAAAGCTACGACCGTCCGCTCGCCGGTTATCATCAGCCAAACTAGAGTGGGTTCGCGCTCGAGTACGTTCACAAAAGTTTTGGTCGGCTATTTGGTGTTACGCTATACTCTAAACAATGCTCCGGTGTACAGACAAGGATATCCCATGTACCGTTCTTACGCTGCGGTCCCAGAAGACAGAGCCGTGAGGATAACATCCGAGGAGCAAAGATTACTGGACGATCAAGGAAACCTTTGTCTTGGGCAATCGTCGACGAAACAGACGCTGTTAGAAGGGATCGACGATAATTTGATTGATCTGAAAACAAAGGTGAAGTACAAAACCACTGGAAAAACGGAGGAATATCACGGAGTCGACAAAACAATCTCGCTGCAAGATATAAAGGATCAAAACTTCGAAATAACGACTACAGCTCGGTATAGTAAGCCGATAGTAGCAGGAACGACTTGTACACAAATTGAAAAGAAAGTCGAGGGAACTATGGTGCAATTATACGAGACCAACCCAGACAGCGCGAGCGCCGTTTTCATCAATATCAAGCTGCTAATCGCTTCTATTGCATTGCTTGGATTTCTTCACGGTTTTCAGTGAATATTTCGAAACGTAACAAGCGGAAAGGTATATTGTTACGTGCGTTTTTGCACTGTATACAGGTGCTATGCAAATCAGCTTGATTTCATTGCTTTTCCAAAAACACACTACGTAATCATTGCTATAATAGGAGTGACAACTCATTTAGTATAGGGATGTAAGAAATGCATTTCTGACTTTTTTGATAGTATAACCATATAAAATAATAACCATGCTGGTACATGGAATAAGGCTGAGAGATTTTCAATGTATTTTTAGCCGTAAATTCCCACTATGTAATAGACTTTAGTTATGTTATTAATTAAGGCTCAAGTCACGCACCATGACGTCATGATTCGTGGTCCGCTGCTTTCTGTGTAAAATTACGCATTATAAATAAACAAACGCAACCAATATTTTCCAATTTGTGGTGGTGTGATCTCTGTGCGGGAATTTTCGAACTTCACTTACGGAGTTTTGTTTCAGTTTGATCTTATCGCTCCGGAGATCGACTTTTTAGTCGAATTTGATTGATGGGAAAGGGCTCCTTCGCTCGTAACAAACTACAGTATGCAAGTAACTTGAATGTATTTTGTCGAAGAAAAGAATCGAAGAATGAAAAGTGGAGGGGGGGGNGGGGAGACTCGGGTGCCACACAATGGACTAGGCACGAGTTAGACATTCGCGCTCAAATAAACAGCGCTCAACACTCAACGAGACTTTGAACATATCGAGTTTTCATTTCTCTTCTCAGAGCAATTGCTTTTCTTTATAAATACATTCTCCCACTAAAATTGGGATACAATTCATCGTAGGACACATATATAGTTTGCATTTATTTACTGCCGTTTGCTTGCCGTTCGCATTTACATACTGTGTTTGCTCGCGGTTAGCATTTATTTACTGCTGTTTGCTTGCGGTTAGTATTAAAGGGGTGAAAGGGAAGGCGACAAAATGTGTCTTACCATGAATTTCATGCCCTAAAATTCAACCTTCACAGTGTATTTATGCAAGGACCATAAGTAAAAACGACAAATAATCTTGCGATTAACCCCAGGATCACTTGGCGCGAACGAATAAGGAAGCGTCCTCACTGCGCCGGAAAAATTTGAAAACGCAGCTTTATTTCTTCGGTTAGGCCTACCGTCCACACTTAGCCGTCAAGAAAATCGAGCTTTTGAAAACGTTCTTCAAACAGGAAGAATTTGAAAGCGTCAGCTTTCCGTTTTGTGTGGACGGAAAATATTTTGAAAACGGAGCTTTTCGAAAACGATGACCTGACAATAATTATGTGATTTCCCTGCATGAGTTTATTTGAAACACAAATCCAAAATGACCGATAATTGCTGTAGCTTGGACGGAAAACATTTGATGCGTTTTCAGAGTGAAACCTCCGTTTTCAAATTTCTCCGGCACGATAAATATTGTGGTGCGCCATACATCCACTGTTGACAACCGTATACAAAAGTCACAAAAGGAACAACTTCATTGTAAAACACTTTGCTTCCAATTTTAATGTACAGAAAATAAATTTGACTCATTCAAACAAAGCAGTCACTGAACTTCTTCAACCGTGCGTCTTGTGACATAAAATATCAAGTGAGCGGGGCAACTGTATTGCTCGCGGCTGCATGTGATGTCTAAATTACCATCAGATCTGCGGAAAGTAATAACGAGCAACACTGAAATGTCGTGTGAAAGCTTCACTATCCATTTCTAAGTGTCTTGATTCGTCCTGGACTGGTCGGTAAAAGATAACCACATTATTTCTCGAATATATTAATTAACAATCTTGCTATCTTAAATTTGAGATGAAATAAAAGTTATTACATTGTATTGTACCACCTGCTTCAACAATCGAATCGAAGTTTCTGATCTGTGGCTTAACTATCGGCGATCAGGCGGGTTTTTCACGGCGAAAGAGAAGAACGCCTGATCACAAGTTAGAGGTTCTATGACAAATAAAACATGGTGTTCTCTTCTTCTATCCATTAGTTTTAAAACGCGACAGGTGTATTCTCTTCATTCTCTCGTTCTTCGGTTTGCTTGTCAAAATAAAGTCAAATGACGTTTTCCTGGCAAATGTTCGGTAACATTTGAACAATTCCCAATGCTTCAAACCACCAATCAAAGATCAATGCGCTCAATAGCGAACACTCTGTAAGGTGCCACGTTATGTTGACCTCATAAGACCAACGTTGCCAAGCAACTACTTTGAAAAAGATTGCGGGCTCAGACCATTTGTCGCGGGCTCAACCGACTGTTTAACATTCGTTCAAGTGATCCCGCTGACCACTGCTATCTGTGTGGCGGTCCGTGAGGTCTGAAGAAGTTTTTCAGCTGCGGTGGGAAGATCGCGGGTCTCTGAGGCGGAGAAGAACTTTGCTCTCGAGGTGAGGCGCCGGAGCCGAACTGGAAAGTCAGCGAAATTGTTGACGGCGCTGCCCCTGGAAAAACACCACAGTACGCATGTTATAAGTGACGTGCTCTTTCGTATAGTTTCCGATTTACAGACGGAAATGAAGTGTCGTTTCTGACCGATCTTCTGGTTTCCATATGATCGCAGAATCGTGGGTTCTGCGATCTACGATCATATGGAAACACGCATCCGCGATAGTTTGCGATCTATTGGGACCGCAAAAAATAGAACCATGTTCTATTCCCTGCGATCGCCTATGATCGCCTACGATCATTGCGATCATATCGAAACACAATTGCGATCCACTGCGATCGACACTTATCCCATAGTATTCATAATCGATCCCACCATTCAACACTCTATAGCAACAACACCGAGTTATTTCCGAGTTTTATTAATAGCGCGTGTACTCCAAAAATTAGACTGCTGGCAGTCTGTTTTTCTCTCGAAATTCAGCAGGAGTTATGAGGAAGGACGCTTTAGCGTAAAGGGGAATGGGACGAGACCCGCCTTCTTCCCCACTCGGGTTTGAAAAGTTAAAAAGAGCCCGCAGACGGTTTTTTCTCGTCCCGCCTTCTTCCCCATTCGGCCACCGCCATACTGCCTTTTTGCGTTCGCGATGACTGAACACTCGTCTAAGTGACCCTAAGAGAAAAAACCGGCTGCCAGCAGACTATCCAAAAATTGTCACGGGACTGGAGCGCGATAAGTTGCTTGGGAACTTCGAGACGAAGGCTTACTCAGGTCTCCGAAACCGGATTTCGCTATAGACTGGCGCTTGTTTTCTCATCTGTCTACATTCTTAAGTAAGTCAAGCAGTGGGGGGAATTCGGCTATAAACCAAAAAAAATTCACCATTTTGATTTTGTTCCGCAGCATTTCAATCAGTTGAAGTTAGTCCCTTCCATCTGTACCTCTATCACCTCTCTTGCTCCACTTAAAAATGTAAGGAAATCCGTCGCCTTTAACACGAAATACGTATGATGCGCGCAGAACACAAAATCAATGACAAAGAACTTACCCGTTTCCTGATTTCTGGGAGGACTTTGAGGTGATTTATTAAGCGTAGTGGACCTCTTTGAGTCACCAGAAAAAGGCCCCACTTCTTCGAGTCCCTTCCCAATTTGGACTATCCCTAAAGCGAAACTATGCATCAGTCGACAGCAAAAATGAGCAGTGTTATCACTGTTAATTTTATTCAAGTTCACAATAGAGCGGTTTTCAATTGAATGTGGAAAGTAATCAGGCAATTACTTTGGTTTTGGTTTTGGTTTTACTTCGGTTTTAGATTGACTGAGTAGTCTAATTGGTAAGTAACTGGTTTGGTTTTGGTTTTACGACACTCAATTGATAACCGCTCTAGACCTGACAAAAATAAACAAATATCGGCTTGTCCCTGGTGTACTCTAATGTCAACCATCACAAGTGACCTAACTATTAGAAGCAAAAGCCTGCATCAAAACACGTAACTCACAAACAATACTGTTAAACAATGGGTTCTCATTTGTGGCCAGTACCCGAAGAAAGATAGTCAAATTCGGGGTTGTGGTGGCGGAAAGGAAAGAGGATATGAAGGCCTGGGCCGGGTTAATTAAAGATATTGTAACTTTTCGGTGAGGTTTTCTGTTTATATTATTTGTCCTTCAAATTTGAGTTTGATTGATCTCGAAACTACAAAAACCTTAGCAGTGAATTTTTTTCCACAAGAAAAATTAATACTTCCTTTAATACTTTGATAAACTTTTAACCCTGGCTTAGCGTTAACGTGAGAGGCGCGGTGGCCTCATGGTTAGTGCGCTCGTCTCCGGATCGAGCGGTCCGGGTTCGAGCCCCGGCCGGGAACATTGTGTTGTGTTCTTGGGCAAGACACTTTACTCTCAAAGTGCCTCNTACAGAAACCGGGATAAGCTCCGGCCTGATGGGCCACTTGGCTCGTATGCAGACTTTACCTTACCTTAGCGTTAACGGGCTTTCGAACAACGACCAACAACCCTGTCTTGGAGTCAGTTTTTGCTGGTCATCGATGAGTTACCGGAATAAATTACCCGTAATAATACAATCTAGTTGTGTTTTAAGCTGTTTTTGAAATCATTCTAAGAAATGACGGAGCTCTTTTAAGAAGTGCAATATCACGTTTGCGCTTTATTACGAAACCCACGCAAAGGTTTTAACTCACCAATCGTCCCTCGCTCATACATCGTTCTCAACCTACCGGGAGATATCCCTGGAGACTGGGACTTCCTGCCATGTTTTCCAGTCACAAAGCCAACATGTTGAATACTTTCGTCTTCCCAGGGGATCAAACCAGTTGCCATAGTAACGCCGTCAGCTTCGTTTCTCTTCCTCCGCGGGCTGACGGACGGAGCATGCTCAGTGGCAAAAGCTGTACCATCTTTCTCGCTCTCACTGCTGCTTGGAGCGGGCCGCTAAAGTAAATATACAAAACACTCGGTAATCAACAGATTTAACATGAATTACATTGCCAAGCAGACAAGTGTTGAGAAAAAAAGATAACTATCAACTATGGAATATTGTCTTATTTGATATACTACGAAATTCTCAGAGCAGATATACAAAGAGATGTTTGATAATTTTATGGGAAAATTGATGTATCCCAAGTCGAACTAGCATGGTGATATCAACAATGTTAACACATTAAAAGCCGTAGAAGCAGATTAACCACACTGAAGTTTATATTTTAGACCTCCACAAGTAAACGTTTTAATAAAATAACTGAGATACTACGCGCACTCTCATTGGTCGATAGGTGTGTTTAGATAAGAGCATTTAAACACGGAGCATTTAGACACTTGGGAGACTGGGAGAATTCTCGAAAGGTTTGCATAACTGTCTCGAATTCTCGGAATCCCCCTCTTGTTTAGATGAGGCTATGTGAACACGGAAAAGTGCTCTACTGCTTCTATAGTACTCTAACCACTGCATTCGAAAATCCTAGAGGTGACTTTCCGACAACATCTGCCATTCAGTGCGCGTGAAACCATATATTCCTAGATATTTGAGATTGCGGGTCTTTCAGAGTCAAAATAACGTCAGATGAAATAAGTTGGTAAGATAACAGGGTCCGAAATTAACTTTTTTCGGCAGGCGTCAACTAGGGACTGAAATTTTTTTTCAGTCGCCAGATGGAAAAATGTGGTCGCCATCTACATTTCCACCTTTTGACGCCCAGAGAATATCTAAATCTTCATCTAATTTCTTCGCGGATGTTCCGTCTCCACCTTGTAATAAATTACGGAAAGATTTCAGAACAGCTTTGGACACCACATCGCCTGAATAAATATTCATGGCGAAAGAACGCATGGGGCCTCTTGCGCCCGCAATACGTATGTTATGGGAAACCGCTGTAAAAACATGACGGCGAAGCTTCGCTGTAAAACATTGTGGTAGATTTATAATAACAGGAAAATCGGTTTTATACTTCAAAAGCAGCGGAAAGGTAAAAGAAAGTGNATAAATATTCATGGCGAAAGAACGCATGGGGCCTCTTGCGCCCGCAATACGTATGTTATGGGAAACCGCTGTAAAAACATGACGGCGAAGCTTCGCTGTAAAACATTGTGGTAGATTTATAATAACAGGAAAATCGGTTTTATACTTCAAAAGCAGCGGAAAGGTAAAAGAAAGTGACCAATTGGCGGGCGGCTTTGAATTTTATTTTAATCGATTTGGCTGAAAATCAAAGTTATTGTTTGTGTAATTATCGTGGCATGAAATAGTTAATCGCCCGCTGGCGTCAGTGCAAAATTTTTAGTCGCATTGGCGACCAGGAAAGCGCAATTTCGGACCCTGGACAAGAATCCTCACCTCGTCCTCTTCGTGGTTCTGTAAAGCATACGTGACTAATGTTCTGCAACAAAAACAAAACGCACAAAGTAGATTAGTTAAATAAAAGGCCAGAACTAAAAGCTTTGATAAAAACTCTTTTCCCCTCGCACCCATACTATCGAAGCATGCAGGCTAAGTATAAAAAGATCGTAATATTTCACTTTTTACTTAAGTGATGACCACCAATATGGAGATGATAACTCATAATTTCAAAACTTCTCACGCGGACTGACCAAATTTTTACTATCAATGAGAGCCCAGACATATCAACTTGCCCGCGCTCTCACATCGAGACTTTGTTCTTCAAAAAAGCCTTTTTTGACGAACAAAGTTGTCGGACAACACGTTATTCAGTTTCTTGAGTGCGACTTAATACAGTCATTGTCAAAATAACTCCCGAATTCAGGAGGGCCTGGCTTCAATTTACTGATTAGTAAAGTAGCGCTGAAAATCCCACCACATTACATGTACAATACAGCCTCATTTATCCGGCCAACGACGGGCCGCAAAAACACTCTGCCCGTATTAACGGCCAAAAAGCTTTCGTCGCAGGGGCCGTAATAAAATGGCCATAATAACGAAGTGACCGTATTAAGGGGCTGGCCGTAAGGCTAGGTTCCGCTATAGTTTACATAAGTCTTCTTTGTAGCCTTAACTGGAAGGTCACGCAACATTATGGGAAGAAATGTGTTGTGTGACGACCCAAATAACGGTCACGATGGACTCTAGGTGATATCGATTTGTACCCCGAGTCGTCGACATTTAACAGTTTGCTCCTCAGCTCGTTTATGGTAGATATGTCCTTCGTGTCCTGCGCAGTGGCACGAATCCTGGGCTTGAGCTTCACGGGGGGTCTGTCAACAGGTACAGCCACGTAAACAGGTGAATGGCGTCCGGTCACTAGAGTAGGATTGTTACTTGTGAAACGAGGGGTGTCCACCAATGTAGAACTGGGCTTCGTTAAAGGGTTGAATCTGTCAATTGCGCTTGGCCTCTGAAAAAATAATTTAATATCAGTTGCTTATTAGCACAGGTTCTTAGACATTCTGCTCGTCGTATTTTCTTTGGTGTTGAAGTCTGAAACAATTTCTTTTACTGTCGTAGCTGCTAGCATTCTCTTCAAGTTGACTTCAACGCAGAAGTTTTCCAACTGATCAATTAAAGCCGAGACCACGATCAACCAATTCACTTGGTTTTTGAAACGTTTTATTGCTGTGATTTGTAATCTACTTTCGTAATGTAACAATTCCATAAATGTCTATAATCAAAAACCTCTGAGAGCTACTGCGAACTAACATCATACAATGTTTCAAAAAATAAGCTGATAATATGAAGAAAGTAAACTGTTTTTTAAAGAACTCGAACAATCAGGTTAAAGTTAATTAACATACAGAAAGGAATGAATATCTCACTAACCAAACCAGTAGGATTCCTGTTTAGTGGCGCCTGTCCATTGCCGGTGTATTTCTTCATGGGTCTGGGCCCCACAAGTGGCGCGGGTTGCACGTGATTGTCCGGTGTACTAAGCTCTGTAGTCGCGGGCAGCCTCGGAGACTGGAACTGAGTAGTATTTGTTGGTTCGAGCTCTTGAACTGAATTTAAATAGGCTTCGTGTAAGAGTCATCAAAACGCAATAGGCCATTTCCGAGTTGCCTTTTGCTTCGGTGTCAAAACGAGTCTTATGCAAAACCATTCATATGAAAATGCATTCTTTACAGGTTCATTTTGATGCAAATCAAACTCATTTTCGTACGAAAGGTTTTGCACGAGTACTCGCTTTGAAACAGAGGCACAAGGTAACTCGAAAATGGCCGATTGCGAAGCGATTTAGCGCAAAGAATCGTCATCAACGACATCTTACACACAATGAGTTGAAAAAAATACCATGGTCTAACACGATTCGGCCCACTCTGCTGGCGATACACACAGTGTCATATTCTCAACATACGCAGTTTCGTTGGAAACAACTTACCGAAAATACTACTATTCTTGTATGAAAAAGCAATATAACGAGTGATTTAGGTACATGCAGAAAGAAATTCAGCAGTTATTCCATACTTTCTCGTTTGCTGGACGGACACGCCATTTGTTCCTCTGTTTGTTGCCAGTTTGTACGTTCAGCAGCCGCCGCGGACACCGTTTTCTTTCGCGTGGAGTTCTTTTGACTGACTTTCTTGATTTTCCTTTCTTCCAGGGACATCTGGGAAAAAGACTTCTTCAGTTCTTGCTCTTTCACAGGTTTCGGTTCATACAAACGCGCCTAGAAAATCCAGCATAACAGCAAGTTAAACATGTTTAAAACATATCTTTTACTGAGGAACGACGCAAACCGTGTATCTAAAATTTCTCTCTACATTTCAAATAGTTTAAACCACATTCCAGAAATGAAAAGAGAAAGATGGAATTGGTTTACATGAATGTGTTTTAATTTATTTTCTTTACTTTCTTAGCCTAAAATCAAACTCATTTATGATTCAACAAGTTAAACAAAGCAAATGATGACCGTGAAGGCGTCTGGATAGCTGACCTTCATTAGCATAGATTTTTATGATTATATTTCTCCGTTTTCTCCTTAGTTTTAGTTTCGATTGAGAGACTGATATATCAAACACTCAAGACAGTGCTTGACTACATTTCTCAACACCTCGAGACTCCGCCATACGTCGTATTTTCAACCGTCTTCTCGGTGTTTCGAAATGTGATCACACACGGACTTTCGTGTTTGATATATCACAGGAAACGCTGCAATTATACCAACTTTCCGTTGGACGAGTCTGCTAATTTCATTTCTGTACATATCATAGCTGGCTATCTTTCCAGTGAGTGACCTAGCAGCAAAAAACCTTCGCTTACCTTAGTACTGGACAAACAGTCTCCTTTAGGCTGCCACGGAAAGTACGGATATGGTTGAACGGGGGTCCTGGGTTTGAGTGAAGGAGCTGGCTGGACCTCAGTCTCCTGCCCGATTATCCCGGCCGCCTTGTAGCGGTTGTTGTACATGGTGATTTTTCGCGCCAATTCCAGAGCTGAGCTGATTCGCTTTTCGTTTCGACTTCGGGGAGCCGGAGATGTACACTCTACGAATTAAAATAAATCACTTTTAATCAAACAGAACGTAACAGTGAGTTTTATGAGATGCCTCACTAGTTGAGTGTAGAAAAGATATACAGCGCCTTAGCTTTTCTCTTCCTTTTTGTATTTTGAAACCTTTTCTGCCTGGTGCAGTATTGGAATACCCTAAACTGCCGCTTATGAGACC